TTGTGAAACTTCATTCACCTCAGTCAGTAGCCCAGTGGTTATGTGCTTTATTGACATGGGGCTGACCCAATCATACAATATCATGTAGTATACATTTATGCTTTGGTCATGTTCACAGAATATGCTAAAACACTAGTGCAGTATAATGCATAATAAAAGTATGGTTAATGAATCTGTAATGATTCTAAGAGGGAAATTGAAAATGGTTTTGTCTATGGAAAAAAAAATCCAATCTATTTATCATACTTTTAACTTTTTCATCAAAATTTCTTAATAAAAAATATGTTTTTGAGAGAATCTTTGCTGTTTTTTCTGATTTTATTTCTCCAAATTATTTTATTTATCGTTGTTCTCATGTTTTATTTTATTAATTTCAAACTTAATTTTTTCTATATAGATTTTATCTTTTTAGTATAATCTTGTTAAAATTTCTCTTATGTCAGGATAAATTTTACAAATTGCACCTTTTTTCAAAATGTGTTTTACAGAGAGCCTTCTCTCTTCGCTTTAAGCAAATGCTTGCTCTTTGCTAATAAAATCAATATTGATACCTTAATTTAAAATATATGATCAATAAAATGGGCAGCTCAGTGGAGCAATGGGCAGCAAGAAGGGGCCTAGTTTGATTCCTTGCCCGGGGTCTTTCTGCATGCAGTTTGCATGTTCTCCCTGAGCATGCATGGGTTCTCTCCGGGTACTCCAGCTTCCCCCCACAGTCCAAAAACATGACTGTTAGGTCTCCTTAGGTGTGAATCTCTATGCTGCCCTGCAATAGATTGCCGACATGTCCAGGGTGTACCCCTCCTTCTGTCCATAGACAACACCCCTTGCGACCCCGCTTGGGATAAGCGTGACGGAAAATAGATGGATGGATCTGTAAAATGCTATTTGGAAAGAAAGCAGGTTTTTTTTTTTTTTTGTAAAAAAAAAAAAAACAGAACTAAGAGAAAAATCTGGAAAACAAAAAATTTTAAAAAAAGAATCTAAGTCTCAGTTACTATCAAAACCGTTTTCTGTAAAGATTTTTTTTTCCATTTAGTAATGTTTTTTTTATTATTTACATTTACAAAATGTTTTATTTACTAGCAGCAATATCACTCCATAAATAAACAAAAAAGAGTTGTAGAGAAACTACAAAAAATAAAAATAAAATAGAAATGGCCCAATTACAGAAAGCAGAAATTCAAATAAATGAAGGCCATTGGAGTGTCCTAAAGATTATAGACTTGATAAGAGGGCAAATTTCAACCAGATTTCTGCTTTGTTTATTTGTTAAAAACTTTTGAAATTTACTCAAGACTGTATGATAAAGACTCTGAGGGGTATGATAACTTTTTTAAGGCAATGTACCATTGAATGAAGTTAGATATACGGAATGAATTTTGCTCCATTATTGTGGCAAGCAAAGAACACGCTTTGAAAAGGAAATCTGAAAAAATAAAATTAAACTTATTCAGAAATTAAACATAAGTAGTATCTTTGTGCTTATTTAAGATTTTAAATATGTACTAGTTTTTGGTTTCATTTTTCAAAATGTACATAATTTACTTTTTATACTTTTTACTTTTTATATTTATTTTCTTTTAAAGGTTTTATATATTTGAATTTTTATTTTGAATTTCACTTCTTCAGATTTAATATTTACAAATGGCGTTAATTTTAAATTGCATTTCACCAATTAATATCCTGTTCGCTTCTAGTTCAATAGCAATGCTTGTTCTTGATGCACACATCTGTCATGATCTTAGCACTGAGGGCTGGCCCAATTGCTCATTACACACACCTACCTAACTATGCCCGGTTAGTAATTTCCACTCATCTAATCCACCTGCTCCTGCTTTCTCTATATACGGCTCATTCCCAGCTATCGGGACCTGATGATTGAGATCATTGCAAATGTTCTAGTTCATGTTCTCGTTCTCGGGAGCCAGTGGTGAGAGAGCTTTTTAGTGTTTCGTAGTCTTCCTGATATCCTGACCTGATCTGCCTCTTGTCCGAAGAGTCTTCCTGTTCCTGTCTTGGCTCAGAGGAGAAAGTAGTTTTTAGCATTCCGTAGTGTTCCTGATATCCTGACCTGTTCTGCCTCTCAAACACTGAGCTTGCCTGTGCCCATCTGAAATTTCTAACTTAAATGTCTGCTGGACTCCTGGAACCCTGATCCTTTGAGCCTTACTGTTCTGATCTGTTTCCCTGACATGGCTTGGACTCCTGCTTGCCCTCCAGGACTGCTGCATAGGGGACACTCTGGGCGGCGCCCGCCACATCTAATTTGGCAGCCCTCCGGCTGCATCCTTCCGCATTCTATGGAGATGGACTGAACTGTGAAACCAGATAAGTGACTCACATGGATAATCATCCTCCGTTAGATTATCAGCGTCACTTACCTGTATTTTTCTTCAGTGATGGGCGGTGCCCAGCCACAGCCGCTGCAGACCCGCAGCTCCGCTTATGCATTTTAATAAGTATTCCACAATCTATCTAGCCTGAATTCTGGGTCCTACGTTCTGAGTTTATGACAACATTGACCGATACATTGTTATTACTATAGTCCATGCAGACCAATAAAAAAAATGCACCTTGTTCCTCACTTCAGAGGAAAGCCCACCCCCGGGAGTTAAGAGAATGGGATACATAAAACACAAATTTAACAGAAAGCAATTTTATCTAAAAAAAAATAATATAAATTTGCTAATAAGTTTCTTTTGAAACAGCAAAAATTGAAAAAAAAAAAAAAAGAAAAAAATATACAGCCTGTAAAAAGAATATGTGACATTAATGTATGTCAAAAAAATTATATACAGAAAAAAAATTCTGTAATATTTTCTTTTTACAGAAACAAAATCTGAGAAAGTAGCAATTACCCTCCAAACCGTTTTATTGATTTAAACATTTTCAACATTTTCATTTTATTTCTGGATTCCATTTTTTTTTATTTCTAGTAACAAAACATGATTTTGGTACAACATTGATAGAACAACATTTCCTCCACAGTCAAACGTCTTGATATGAGACACTAAAATAAGGTTAGGTTGATAACAACCAATACAAAATGCAGTGGGCATCCTGACTGTTTAGGGCCATGGCCCTAATCAGATTAGTAGGGTTAAAAGGTCTGCAAGAAGAAGGAAGGGGGAGGGGTCTATATGAGTGTCAACATGTGTGTGTGTGTGTGTGGGTGTGTGTGTGTGTGTATGTGTCTAATAACAGAGCAGATGTTACAAACCAACATCCAGGCTTAGACCGTCTGTTTCCCGGATTTATTTCCCTGCAGTTTTGACTCAGTGACTGTCTGTCTGTCTGTCTGTCTGTCTGTCTGTGAAAGGATAAAGTCAGAAGAGTCCAATACTATCAGAAGGACATTTTAAACCTTAAGGGTTTGTTTCATAAACATTTCATAAATTATTTCAAAGCCTAAAGTAAACCTTGATATAATATCTGTGCTATGGCATAATATAAACGAAGGGTAAATATGCTTCTCTGAAATTTTAATTCAAATTTAAGACTGAATTACTGTATGCAAAGTCCTTGACTGGATGCAGTCAGCTTGAATTTTTTATTCTTTTTTACTATATGCATTGTTTGATTAAAATGTCAGCTCTAACCCACTGTTGGCCTAGTGGGTTGGAGCTGTGCGCTTGTGCTCTGAGAAGGTTCCAAGTACCCTGTTCGATCACCACAACCACCGCTCTGGGTTCCTGAGCAAAACCCTTAACTCCCCTGGCGCCACACAGAGGCAGCCCACTTCTCCCCAAGGGGATGGGTCAAAATACAGAGAACAAATGTCCCCATTGTAGGACAATAAAGCGATTTACACATTTTTTAAGGTGGCACATTCTGACCTGGAAGCTATATACTGAAAAAACTGAATTTAATTAGATGTACTTAGTAGTATTTTATAGTAGTATTTTTATTAAATTCCATCCAAAGTTTTAGTTAATGGTTGTTGTTTTTTTCAGAAACAATAGACTGAAGTGGATCTGTAGCTTAAAATTCAAATGACTTAAACTGATTAGTGGTGGGTAGAATACCCAAAAATTGCGCTTACTGTAAGTAATGCTATACTGCTTTGTCATATGTTTACTCAGTTAAGAGTAAAAAAGTATTTGGTACGAAGGTCACTTCAGTACTAAGCAACTCATCATGACATGATAATTATGTAAAAAAGAGACCAAAATGTAAAGATATGGGCAAATTCTTCTATCTTAAGGAATCTAATAAAATAATTGAAAAAAACGAATAATATAATTGAACAATAACTTTCATATCCAGGATGAAGAAACACTTTTTAAACCAGTTTAATTTTAAAAATAAAACTTAAAACCAGCACCAGAATATTATGAAATATTGTTTATTAAGATTAGTCTTTAAATGTGTTAATGCCATTGCTCCTGAAATATATGCAAACTAAAGCTCCCGGTGTCACTGCCAGAGGCCCTGCCAGTGATGACAGCAGACCAGCCAGATGGACAAACACAGTAAAAGGGCATCAGATCTGTAATACTACACCCACTAACAGACCCAAATCAGCAAGTAAAACAATGACTAAAATCAATTCAAACCTGTGAACATTAGAGCAATTTATGCACAACTGTTGTGGATCATCTGTGTTATATTTTCTGTATGCTTTTATTTTTTTATGTTTGTATTTTACTGGATATATTTAGTGACCTGGTCTGGAAATTAGCTATTAACTAGACAACCAATGACCAATGGCATTGGTTGCACTTTAAATAAAACAATCTTTTTTTCTGTTCCTATCAAGTAAACTTTATTATATAAAAGGCTCCAGTGATGCTATTTCCTCCATACTTTATCTGAGCTTAATATCTACATGTCTAGTAGATTCAAGTGAGCTTGTGTACCGAAAAAGGATGCTTATTTAAACATAAACAGTCACAGTGTATTGTTGTCTGCAGCATATTTTTAAACAAGCTTGTTAAAGGAATAGTACACCCAAAACATGATTAGCCTTCATTTTCTACTCACCCCCATTATCCTGGCCTCGCTAAGCACTGTGGCCTTCAGCAGTAACTCAGCTATACAGGTAGCTAAACACTTTCCCATTCGTCCACCAAGAAGCACTGCATTAGGTTCTTTAGCAGGATTTAATGAGAATCGTGTAAAACTGTAACACACAAAGATACAGAAAATGAATGCCAGCTAAGCTAACATTGGGCTAATACAAGTAAAAATGTCTATCTTCACATAAAACATGTCAACAGGTTATGAATTATGATTAATATGACAGGCAAATTAGAACAGTACTTACAGACGATGCCGTTTTGCACTTAGATTAAAGAAAACACAACAAAAACTGCTTCTTTCAGAGCAGATGGATGAACAGGCTTTCTTCCTTTCTGGTAAACAAGTTGTAGTAATAAAAGTGACCACAAGATGGCGTTTGTGAACTAGCAATACACACAATTATAACATTTGCCACTAGGTGGCCTCAGTAAATGAACTAAACATTGAATAACATTAAGTTAAACAAGTTCCATTACACTCCCCGCCTGGCGTCTTTAAGAGATGCCACTAAATCAAATGTCCACATTACTAGGCGTCACTAGAAGAATCAGTTCCGAGATTGGTCGGCTGAATGTCTTTACATCCTGATGTCTTGCAACTTTTACATCCACTTTTCGCACAAGCCCGTCCCTGCTGGGGTATGTCTTCTCAACAAGTCCCATGGGCCACTCGTTGCGCTTTGCAGTGGAGTCCTTCAGGAGGACAACATCTCCTTCCTTGAGATTTGTTTTCTTTACAAGCCACTTTTGACGACCTTGAAGGGTGCAGAGATATTCTTTCCGCCATCTTGTCCAAAAGTTGTTGGCTAGTATTTGAACTCTCTTCCATTGGCTCTTGAAGACGTCCTTCTCGGTCAGGTTGTTTGGAACTGTAGGGGGAGCTCCTGTTTTCTGAGTAAGAAGCATAGCTGGAGTTAAGACCAGTGGAGCTTCAGGGTCTGTCGAAATCGGCACAAGGGGTCTGGCATTAACAATAGCTGTGACCTCTGCCATGAAGGTCACCAAGACTTCGTGGGTGAGCTGAGGTCGCTTCACATCTAGGAGTAGAGCATCTAGAATGCGGCGAGAAACCCCAATCATTCTTTCCCAAGTCCCACCCATGTGGGACGCATGGGGCGGGTTGAACTCCCAGGTGCACCTCTGTTCTGTCAGATAGTCTTTGATTGTGTTATTGGCATCCTGTGGTGATAGTTTCAGCTCATTACAGGCGCCAATAAAGTTGGTCCCTCTGTCGGACCTGAGTTGCTTGGCTGGTCCACGGAGTGAAAAGAATCTCCGGAGAGCATTGATGAGGCTTGAGGCAGTCATTGTTTCCACAACCTCAATGTGGATGGCCCTGGTAGACATGCATGTGAACAACACTGCCCACCTCTTGTTGTTCACTTGACCTCCTCTTGTGCGTTTTGTCACAATCTCCCATGGGCCAAAAACATCCAGGCCCACATATGAGAATGGTGGGTCCGCTTTGAGCCTTTCTTCAGGTAGATCAGACATGAGCTGTTGTTCTGACAGTCCACGTAGCTTTCTGCAAAACACACACTTGTGAATGATGGTGCTTATGAGTCGCTTACCTCCAACCAACCACAGTCCACTGGTGCGAATGGCTCCTTCTGTTAGATGCCTTCCCTGGTGTTTCACTCTGTCGTGATGATGACGCACTAGCAGAGTTGCAATGTGGTGTTTGTTGGGTATTATGACTGGGTTTGCCTCGTTTCTTTGTAACATAGAATGCTGCAAACGTCCTCCAACTCTCAGGAGCCCCTCATTATCGATGAATGGATTGAGTCTGAGAATAGAGCTGTTCTTTGGTAGACTTTGGTCTTTTTTGATTGCAGAGATTTCCTGTGAGAAGCACTCTTGTTGCACTGTGTGAATGATCAGTCGCTCCGCTTTATCCATTTCTGAAGATGAGATGTTGTTGCAGTAATGCCAACCTCGACAGCTGTCACTGTTTTTGCTTGAGAAGCTTTGAGCGATGTGAGTGAGTCTGGCAACCGATTTCAAGAGACATTTCCAGTTGGAAAAATGTTCAAAGCGACTTGAAAATCGTTTGTGAGTTGAAGACCCTGTTACCACATTGGTGGCGTTCACCCTGACCTCTGTGTCATCATCTGGATTGATTAGCAAGTATTGTTCGTCTGAATCAATCTTTGTCGAGTCCATCTCTGTGAGGAATCTTGGTCCAGTTAACCAGAGGGTGTTGACAAGCTCTTCTGCTGCGACTGATCTCGAGCCACAATCCGCTGGATTGAGTTCGGTGGGCACAAATCTCCACTGATTAGGCTGAGACACTTGTCTGATGCGCTGCACTCTGTTACTGACAAAGACGTAAAACCTTCTTCTCTCATTGTGAATGTAGCCTAAAACTACCTTGCTATCTGAGAAGTACCTGACAGCATCCAGTTTTACATCTACCTCATGCATAATAGTTTCCGCAACTTCTACAGCTAGGACAGCTGCACAAAGCTCTAATCTTGGGACTGTTAGCTCAGGCTGGGGGGCGAGTTTTGATTTGCCAAAAATGAACCCCACTTCATGATGGCCGTCATCATGGGTGATTCTCAAATATGCGACAGCTGAGATAGCCTGTACTGACGCATCAGAAAAAACACAAAGCTCAATTGTCTTGGCTTGACTCACTGGAAATGTGACGTATGTTCTTGGAATATGAAGGTTTTTCAAAACTGAGAGGGACTCTTGCCAGCGTCTCCACTCTTCGTATTTACTTTGAGGCAGAGGAGCATCCCACGTAATATCCTCTTTAGTAATGTCTCTGAGAATCATTCTTCCTCTGATTGTGATAGGTGCTAGAAAGCCCAATGGGTCGAATAGGCTATTTACCGTAGACAGCACACCGCGCCTGGTGAATGGTTTCTGGTTCTCTGGAACCTTGAATGTAAAAGTGTCTGTCATGAGGTTCCAGATAACCCCCAGGCTGCGCTGTATGGGGAGATCATCTGTGAACAGGTCCAGATCTTTTATATCCTTGGCTCTGTCTTCAGCTGGGAAGTGGTTGATAACTTTGACACTGTTTGATGCTACCTTGTGTAGTCGCAGGTTGGAAACGGATAACATTTCTTGAAGCTGCTCTGCTGTCTTTATGGCCTCAGCTTCTAATGTGAAAGACAGCAGTGCGTCATCCATGTAAAAATGTTTCTCCACTAACTCTGTTGTTTTGCTGCCATAGACTTGCTCCATTTCCTTTGCTGCCCTCCGTAGGCCATAAATGGCAATTGCAGGTGATGGACTGTTCCCAAATATGTGAACTCTCATTCGGTACTCAACCACTTCGTTTCCTGGCTGATTGTCGCGGTACCACAAAAACCTGAGCATGTCTCTGCACTCTTCTTGAACAACAAAGCAGTGGAACATCTGCTCTATATCTGCTAAAACTCCGATTGGACCCATTCTGAATCTCATCAGAACTCCAAGTAGACTGTTATTTAGGTCTGGACCCTGCAGCAAAACATCATTCAGTGAGACGCCGTCAAACTGTGCAGATGAATCAAATACGACACGTATTTGGTTGGGCTTTTGAGGATGATAAACTCCAAAAATGGGTAAGTACCACCTTTCCTTTTCTTTTTCAAGTGGTGGGGCAAGCTCAGCGTGATGATTGTTAAACAGCCTTTGCATAAACTCAAAAAAGTGCCTTTTCATTTCAGGTTTTTTCTGAAGATTGCGTTCCAGAGAGGCAAAACGTTTCTCCGCATATTCTCTGTTATTAGGTAGCTTGCGACGAGGGTGCCGGAATGGGAGAGGGGCAACCCAGCTATTTGAATCATCTTGGAGAAAGCCTTTTTCCATTATTTTCAAGAAGCGTTTGTCTTCAATAGAGGGAGCTAACTGGTGATCATGAATTGTTCTTGAAAACACTGAAAGTGTGTCTGATGTTTCTGTGTACAAGTCTCTTACTTTGATTTTGTTCTCACATTCTGAAAATGTAGAAGGTCTGCCACTGTCAGATATGTATGTCTTCATGCTGCTCACTGTTGGAGGCCCATGCATTCCATTGACACAGACATCACCGACTACCACCCAGCCGAGATCTAGTTTCTGTGCAAATGGTTCATTATTCAGTCCGTTTATCTGTTTTCGTACTTTGTGCACTCTCAACAGGTCTCTTCCTATCAGCAGGAGAATCTCAGCATTGGGGTCGAGAGGAGGGATTTCTGAGGCTATTTTGTTTAGGTGGTCGTGGTGATGGGCCACTTCCGGTGTCGGGATTTCTTTCCTGTTGTTAGGGAGATTGTCACATTCAATCAATGTGGGAAGCTGCAGACATGTTTCTTTGTCTAGAGACTCTATGACATAACCATGGGCTCTTCTTCCATATGCTTGTGTTGCGCCCATACACGTTGTGATGCTGTAAGGAGCCTCAGTGCCGTGTATGTCAAACTTGTCAAAAAACTCACTTCTGGCCAGGGAGAGATTACTCTGGTCATCCAGAACTGCATACATCCTCATACTCCTATGCTGCTGACCTGAGGGATACACGTTAACCAGAATAATCTTGGAACATGATTTATTACTTTGTCCTATACCACAGACTTTAGTGCAGTTCGAGCTTATTTCCTGTCTCGTCTCTTCCTCCCCGCCGTCCTCTGCACACGGTGGGGGCTGACTTAAGGACTGAACAGCGCTTGTTCCACTGAAATGCATGGCACTAACATGTTTGTCACTTGCACATTCCAAACATTTGATTGGAGCTTGACAGTTTTTTGCCATATGACTTGTAGAAGCACAGCAGCGATAGCAGATCATGTGTTCTTTGAGAAGTTTTTTGCGTTCATCAAGAGTCATTTTCACAAATCCTCTGCACTTACTCAATGGGTGTGGTTTATTATGGATAGGGCATTGTTTTTCTGGGTTAACAGGGATTTTCTCTGTTAATTTGACAGGAGTGCTTATATGATCTTGTGTGACATTTGTTTTATTGACAGCAACTGGGTATCTGACTGGTGCACATTTTTCCTTTCTCTGAGGAGCACACGTGAGTGAGAGAGTCTTAAAACTTGGATCATTCCTTACTTCAGCTTCTGAGCACACAAATTCTTTGAAGAAGGAGAATGGTGGAAAAGACACGTTGTATTCTCATTTAAATCTAGAACCTTGTGACATCCAGCGTTCCTGTAGAGGGTAGGGGAGCTTCTCTACAATTGGCTGGACACCTCTAGCCGTGTCCAAATAGGTTAAACCACACAACTTGTCACTTTGCTTTGCAATTTGGAGCTCTTGTAGAAGATCTGCTAGCTCTTGAAGTTTGCGGTTATCTCTAGAATGGATTTTGGGAAAAGCTTCAAGTCTTGAGAAAAGAGCATTTTCAATCGCCTCTGGTGAGCCATATATTTTGTCCAGTCTTGCCCATATTGATTTTAGTCCATCCATAGGCTGGTTAATATTAACTGCTCTTATTCTGGCCGCATGCTCACTTGACTCCTTGCCAAGCCACTTCACCATCAGATCAACTTCTTCACTAGGTGTCAGCCCTAGTGGTTCTATAGCACTGATGAATGAAGCTCGCCATGCTTGATAATGTTCTGCAGTATCATCAAATTTGACCAGACCAGATGTTATGACTTGGCTGCGTGCTAAAAACCTTGCCAGATCAAATGTGGGATTTCCTGAATTTACGTTAAAGGTAGGAACATCAGTTTTCACATTAACATTGTGCATTGAGTCACCTCTGTGGTAAGAGTTGAAGTTGGGGGATTGTTTAATGTGTCCTCCTGTCATGTCTGGCTGATGAATGGGAAGAGACTTAAATTCATCTGAGGCTGCATATTGTTGCGTGGTTACAGCAGCAGGCACAGGTACTGTATATTGTTGCATGTTAACAGCATTGGGTATAGTGTTAGGTGGGTGTGAGTGAGCCCCCTGATCCTTGTAGTTGTACTGACTGAAGTAAGATGACTGCTCTTTTACATAGTCTTCTGTCCTTTTCAGTGTTTGTTTGGCTACAGGACTGCGCTCAGATGTCTCGCTGTATTTTCCTTCCTCTATGTCTGCTGCTACTGCCTCAAATACTTTTGCTTCAGCATTAGCAGCTGTAAGTTCCCTTTGGAGAGTGAGTGCACGCAGTGATGCTTCAAGTTTTGCCTTCTCAATCTGAATATGTGTCTCTTTTTCATGAAACTCCAGTTTAGCTTTAGCTGCTTCAGCCTTAGCTCTTGCTTTAGCTGCAGCCAAACTGACAGAGGAGCATGTAGATGACCGTGAGGCTACAGAACGGACGTGGTACACTGTATCTATATCCATGTCCTTATTTGATAGCACATCACTTGCCTTCTGTTCATTACCTTTGTTGTCCATGGCTCAGACGTTGTCTTTTTCTTTGTCTCTTCTGCATGGGACGTCTTTTTACTATCCTGGCCTCGCTAAGCACTGTGGCCTTCAGCAGTAACTCAGCTATACAGGTAGCTAAACACTTTCCCATTCGTCCACCAAGAAGCACTGCATTAGGTTCTTTAGCAGGATTTAATGAGAATCGTGTAAAACTGTAACACACAAAGATACAGAAAATTAATGCCAGCTAAGCTAACATTGGGCTAATACAAGTAAAAATGTCTATCTTCACATAAAACATGTCAACAGGTTATGAATTATGATTAATATGACAGGCAAATTAGAACAGTACTTACAGACGATGCCGTTTTGCACTTAGATTAAAGAAAACACAACAAAAACTGCTTCTTTCAGAGCAGATGGATGAACAGGCTTTCTTCCTTTCTGGTAAACAAGTTGTAGTAATAAAAGTGACCACAAGATGGCGTTTGTGAACTAGCAATACACACAATTATAACATTTGCCACTAGGTGGCCTCAGTAAATGAACTAAACATTGAATAACATTAAGTTAAACAAGTTCCATTACACCCATGCTGAACAACACTCTGGAGTACTTTTTTGATATCTCAAATGCATCTGGAGATCTGGGAGGCTTCTTGCTGTCTGCTGACATTCAAATAATGGAGGTCTATGGTGCCCGAGGCAGAAAGGTCCATAAAAGTCCACAAAAAACGTGTCAATATTCCTCCATACTGCTCGTCCAATGTATTCCAAGTGTCCTGAGTGGGTAGCATCCAGAATTTACTCGAAACGAAGTAATTTAGAATGTTTTTAGAGCATAAACAGTAGTGTATAGGATTTCCTGAAAGCGCGCTGGTGAGTTCACGACGCTACGGAAACCGCGGCAGACCAAACCAGATGAAAGTGCGCATTCAGCTCGGCAAAGAACTCATGCTCTTCCTCAACACTGAAGTCCTCAGACATTTTTCTTTCATTGTTTCTTTATTTGCACAGGTAAACAGCACATTTCTTCTTCTACGCTTGCATTATCGGCAGAGCAGACGCTGAATGCGCACTTTCATCTGGTTTGGTCTGCCGGCTTCCGTAGCGTCATGAACGCGCCGGCGCGCGCTTTCAGGAAATCCTAAACACTACTGTTTATGCTCTAAAAACATTCTAAATGACTTCGTTTCGAGTAAATTCTGGATGCTACCCATTCAGGACACTTGGAATACATTGGACGAGCAGTATGGAGGAATATTGACACGTTTTTTGTGGACTTTTATGGACCTTTCTGCCTCGGGCACCATAGACCTCCATTATTTGAATGTCAGCAGACAGCAAGAAGCCTCCCAGATCTCCAGATGCATTTAAGATATCAAAAAAGTACTCCAGAGTGTTGTTCAGCATGGGGGTGAGTAGAAAATGAAGGCTAATCATGTTTTGGGTGTACTATTCCTTTAATCATTCAGTGGAGTTAATCGCAATGGATGGGCTAGTCAAACCTTTTACTCAACCGAAACTAGCAACATTTTATTAAGACATTACTCAAGTAAAAATATTGCAGTTTAGCTACTCCTAATAGTAGATTTTTGTCAAAAAAGTTACTTATATAATTCTAAATGAGAAAATGTAAGTAGTCACTACCCCTCTGCTGATTGGTCCTATACTGGATAAATCAAAGATGATCTAACATGTTTTTAGACTGATGAACTAAGGACTTCCGAAATTATGGGCCAGAGGTGATTTCTCAATAAATATTAGGGAGGCTAAACCTCCCCTCAATATTTCATTAAATAATTGATCAAATATTTGTTGTCTAACTTCATAAATGCAGTCATTAAACAGAATTAAATATGTGCTAACATGCGCTTGCTTTAATTAGTATGCTGAACATAAGTCAGCTATTCAGCCCACTTTTGGGCTGTGCCTAAAGTGTTATAACAATTTTTAATACAATATGTTACACTTGGATTTACATTTGGATCTTAATACCATTGAGACTCCCCTGTTCACAACTGCTTTATACCAGCTAAGACCGAGATCCACAGAGCCAGTAAGGCTGGAAGGTCCCAGGCGTTACCTAGTTTTTAGCATGTTGTAAAAAGTGAAAACTTTTTGGTATTTGGTAACCATCGTGCTGACTGTGAAACCTTTATAAGTCATAAATACAAACCTCCACAACTGAACCCTCTAGAGTTGAGGTGTTTCTTTAAATGAGGAAGTCTTCAATCAGAATGAATGTGAGCTCAGAGTCACTGCTTTGGTTTGTTCTCACCCATCACTGACTTCTGTGTTGTTGACCTTTCCTATTTTAAAACATTTACACTTTAAAAGCCCTGTTAATGGTCTCAGCTGATCGTTTGATGAATGGGACATCTATGACAACAAACCTGCTTCCAGAAAAAGCCATAAGCTTAAGAAAGTGTTGTACAACAAAATCAGCAGCTCAAGCTTAGATCGCTTTCTAATCCGCCCATGTTATAGAGCTTAACATTGGTCTAAAAAATTCTGAGGGTTGATGTTCTGCAGCATACAAAGGTCTCAGTAAGGTGGTTGCTTTCAATGTGACTATTCGACACAAAGAAAGGTGCCAGCTGTCCTTTGATAATGGAATGAGTGTTGAGATAGACCACATCATTGGAAAAACCAAAGAGAAAAATACAAAGAAAATATTTAAAATGTCATAGGCTCTTATTTAAATGCTAAATAAGATGATATTGGTATTTTGGTGTTAATTTCAGTATAGATAATCTAGTATGCGATTTGACATGGGATGGACACTGGGATTAGAATGGTTTTAAAGATCCTTGCAGAAGCAAAGTTGGTGAAGGGTTTGCTTTAATGGAAACTCAGCTGGACACAAACAGGTGCTCTGGAAAAAGCAAGGCATTGCCAGCTCATGTACACCAAAGAGAATAAAGCTCCATTATTACGAAAAAAAGTAATGTGTCTGATTCTAAACTATTTAGATATTCCAGAAAAGCTTTCCCCAAGACAGAAAGGACACAAAGTAGGACATTTTCTACGTTAATGTGATTTTAATGTGATAAAATTAACTAGAATCCATCCTGTTTACTTTAAAGGGTTTATTGTTAGCCCTGAATTAGTGATCCCGCTTTAGCTTTGGTTTGAAGCGGTCGCCAGTTAACCCACAATTTCCAGTCTCCATTGTTTGGAGGCCGTCCTTGTCTCTCCTCCACCTGAGTCACTCCCTCTCACTGCAGGCTGTGTCTCAGTCTGCTTCAACAGGAGTCCCTCCGTCTGTCTCCTCCACGACGTCTCCAAGGCCCGATACGCCTCATCCAGCCCACGCCACAATATTTAGACAAAGTGAGAGAGACAGAGACACGCTGGCTGTGGCCGAAGCCGGTGCTGGGATTCCTGCCATCCAATTCTCTGTAACTAACCCTCATGTTTGTCCTGGTGGCTTTAAAGAGTAGATTCGTAAATCCCTGAGGAGTAAACAGATGATGGACCCAGAAACGGTGGTCGTGAAAACCAGGCTCAGCTCAAATTCTTCTTTAAAGAGGCCTATTAATGTAACATTATACTCCAGAGTAGTTTAAGGTGGACAGTTTTGGTGGTTTTAACCACATAATTACTTCATGATGGTTTATTTAGCATCGTGCTGAAGGTTTAAATGGTTCTTCATGTGTGTTTTGGTCATTTTGTTAAAACACCAAAGGTATTACATTCACACAAAAATGATCTTCCTTGGTTTTATAAACAACGATCCCTGTAAAGGAGAGGTACAGTAAACTGTTATGCAACTTGAAAATACTCCTGAGGGTTCAATCCACCACAAGAATTGGTGTTTTGCAATACTTAGAGAAAGTCAGCAAAACGATTAGGAGAAACTATATATTTAGGCAGCAGAGTTTACAGCAGACATGTTAATTCTGCTACTGGACATCTGAGAAGCCTTAAGGAGAAGGAGAAGAGCAAATGAAGTTAACTTTACAAATTAAACCCTAATTCTTAAGCAAACTTTACAAAAAAAACAGCCAATTATAAAAGGTTTACTGAATCAGATCACCTTTTATCTGGCTCCCCCCTACATGATGCTACTATAGTTTCTATTTTAAATGTAGTATGCAATTCTTTTTGTAATCAATTACTTTATTTTTAAATGTATAACTTTTTAGAAAGGGTCCTGTTTTCCTCACAGAACATGCACGTTGAATGGAAAGCTGTTTTTCAAAGATTATCATATAAATTATTTTTTTTTATTTCTACCTACAAAGCTTTTCTAAAAGATTACCAAGACCATCTGGTGTATTCTGTTATTTTTGTGATTTTGCTCATTTTTTTAATGAACATTTTTTTAATGAATGCACTTGAACTTGTTGGGGAGTCTAGTGGAAAGGGGATAGAGCAGTGAATTCTGAGGTTGTAAGTTTGGAACCCACTCCCACAGACTGCAACTCTGGGTCTCTGAGCAAAGACCCTTAACCCCACACTGCTCCACTGGTGCAGCAAATGGCAGCCCACTGCTCCCCAAAGGGGCGGGTTAAATGCAGAGAGTGAATTTCGTTGCTCTGACTTGCTGTTACTGTACTTGCGGCAGTGTAATAACAATAAAAACGCTGGGGAAAAAACCCCCCCAAACTTTTTAATAAGAGTGCAAAATGCAATGCAATTAAACACAAAAAAATTATTCCAAGTGGGATAAGACTCAAACAATGCTCTGAATTCATTGTTTACTGAAGCAAATGACGCATTAAAGGTATACTATGCAACCGGTGTTGATTTTCCAGCGAGGCTCCCCCCAGAGGGCGAAAGTAAAAGTGCACTGTCGTAAATATGCTCAGCTGTTCTCCTGGTTTTTCCGTCAAGCCAGGCGCGGTTGATTTGAGCTTAGCAGACAGGCGAACGCAACGAATCACCATGTCTACTGAGGTAAGTGACTATTTTGCTTCAATTTTCAAGTTTGAAAATTTAGCATGTTTTCATACATTTACAACTGCACAAATATCGCCACTGCGCTAGCAACGAGCATGCCTTTCACTGGGGGCGTGTAGCAGTTCTCGCCGGAAAGCAAGACCGACTCTCGCGATGCACGAGACTTCTGAGCCTGTGGGTGCGGGCCGAGGGCTCCTGGAATTGCAAGTACGGTATTTCCCCTTTCCGAGAAAACCTTTGTTCGACCTGAAATGACTCATTTAATCATCCAAAACGTTATGGAACACATTAATTAACTGGAAAATGTTGCATAGTGTGCCTTTAAGATGGAGTTGATCAATGCATAAGTATCCTTCCTTGTTAATGGTGATACCAGTAACAGAAATGCTGTTCTTAATCTGCACTAAGTGGAAAGGACATTATGAATAAATAGGTAGACTGATTGGTTCTTAACTTGATGCTGTGATTTTGCGTTTGTTAGGAATGTAGGAGCTGCAGTAGATCGGTGTATTTAACTAGTATGGGTTGGCCTCTGAACATGCAGAGCTATCGCTGTACTGCCAGTCGTTGCAAAAATGATACTGCTGAGGGCGCCACATCTGTTCATGTCTGATCATCACTTTAATTCTATTAAGGCAAAAAAATTATCTAAACTTTCAGGGCGGATGCTTGGTGTA